GTTTTTTTCACCCAATGCATTCTGTGAACACGGAAACACAATAAAGACAGAGCCCTCTCCAGTTCCTCTGCACGACACATGAACAGACTTAATAAACCACTGCAAACCAAAAATATTAAACATCAATATGTGGCAGGACAGATATGAACTCTTATGACCACAAATTATTGTGGACCTTCCCGGCGGCTTCAGCAGTGGTAAGGCAGAGTTTGTCTAATGGTCCTAAAGGATTTAGAGGGTGTTTTTGGAGCTACATTGTAGGATATTGAATTTTAGGATACTCAAGAACACACTCATCACACAGAATACTTTTTCCCCCTTATTTGTGTGGCTGTGTGTTAAATTATTTAAGGATATGCAACAGTTTCAGTATGGATTTGTGCTAAAAATTATTTGCAGAAACTCAATGTTGAAGACAAAAGTTTTAGTTATGCCTGCAAGCAGATTTAATCTTTTTCCATTGTGTGACTGTGAAAGTGTAGTGGCATGTGAATTTGAAGATACAAATCTTTTTTTAATGTTATTTTTGCAGAAAACGTGTGGGAATAGTTCAGAATGATTTCATTGTTCTTACTTTCATTATGCTTCTATGTGGATAAAGCTGGGTTAAATTCACAAGTGTAAAACGTGTAGGCTGTATGAATTGAGTCACCGCTCATGGTCGATTCTATACAGCTAACATCCCAGATGGCAATAAAGACTATTTTCAAAAATGAAACAGCGAGAAGACATAACAAGGACAACAACATACACCAGGATGAGTAAGAAGATGATAAAAGCCTCCAGAATATCGTTGAGCTAATTATGAAATAATCCTTTTGAGGCTGAGGAGAAACTGGCGCGTCTCCCACCATCTTTCCCACATCTCGTCCTTGGCCCCTGTCACAGGCGTTGTCAGCCTCCTCTCCACACGCAGGTGGACACATCCCTGCCAGCCAATGGAGATGCACCCCACAGATGGGAAAAGCAGCTCCTCTCAAAGTTCCCTGGGACCGTCCCTGGCACTTGTCCTCCTCAGTTTTATAAGGCTCTTCATCTCCACAAAAGTGCTTCTCTGGGACTGTGTAAATCATTGACCTCTCAGAAAGAATCCCACCATGGGCTTCTCGGCACTCTCACGGCTTGATTCATTACAGCGCTCAGGAACTGAAGGGGCTAACAAAGAGAGTGTTGAGCATAGTGACAGTAGAGGTATGTATTCAAATTCATACAAAAACATTCAAAAGCTGTGAGTTCCTTTTTGAATCTTTGCGACTGTGTGGTCGCTGAACACTCATTCACAGGGACACACGCACACAGTCCTTTTCATGCTTCTTGAAAACATGCTGTTCTTTTGTCAAAGCATCCTCAACATTACAGGAGGAGAGGATCTATTTTATCCACTTCTTTCTAAGCGAAGACTGCCAGTGTTTAAGGGGCTTTAAATGATTCCAACATGGTAAAGTGGACATCCCAAGTCCAGTCTGTCTGACTATTTGTCTACAAATGTAATCTCCATTCAACTTTAACATTCTGACATGAGACATTCATCACTGCAGACTCCTGGCAAATTTCTCTTGGGTTGGATTGTATTCTGATCTTGTTTCAGCAGACATTAACAAGGGAATAACTCTAGACTGCAGCCCTCAACTTATTCAAGCAATCAGTGTTTCCCATATAGGTACTACTTGCTGTGTGGAGAGAAAACTGATTATGAAGTCTGTACATTCATTTAGACAAGAAACTGAAATGTATGTCGAGTTCAAAATGAATTGTTTTAATAGTATTGTGGGGGAATTCACTTATTTGTTTTCTTTCCGAGAGTTAGTTGAGAAGATCAATACCACTTTCATATATATCTGCTATAGCTACAGCCAGGAGATAGTTAGCTTATTCCAGAACATAACAACTCAACGGGTTGCTTTTACCCTTCAGCTGTTTGTATGGATTAAACAAACGAGTTAAAACATGTGAAGTAGTGACCTTTAGAGGGGCTGATAAGCATTTTTTAGACAGAGCCAGGTTTGCTGTTTACCAATCTATGGTTTTTCCAGTCTATGCTAACCAACTACAGGCTTCATATATAACGGACAGACCCGAGAGCAGTATCCGTCATCTCATCTAACTGTCTAAGAATTTCCAAAAATAAAAAGAGCAATATGATTGAATAGGATGAAAGAAATGTGAATGTTTAAGGGAAACAGGACATAGATGTTGTGGGTTTAAGTTACAGTAAATGAGGAACTAAAAAGTTATAGCACACTGCAACTTAAAAAGAACATTAGAGAACATTTCACAACAACTGATTATCGAGAATTAACTGTCTGATTAGTAACAAGTATTTCAGCGTTAGTATGACACAAGGAAATTGCAAGTAGGTTGGTAAATTTATTTTGTCACAATATAACAGGTTACAGAGTGAAATTAAGTTTGTAACTCCCTTCTGCTATGTAGCAGACAATATAAATTAATATAGAAGCAATTACACAAATGGTAAACGGAAATAAACTATATTCAATGGAGCAGTGCTGAGGATGAATTTGAGAATACACTTGTGTGGAAATTTCCACATATGTGGTATGTCATACTGTATGTGTAATTGTAGCATGCAGCACATGTGTTTATTAGCTTTGGTCTTTTCAGTACAGGGATGTCTTTCCAATTGCAGCAGTTTGCCAAAATAAACAATTTTGATGTTTTTAAAGAGGGTTATTGTGGAAGAAAGAATTGTCTAGATGTGGGGTAGACTAAGAGGTGTTATTTAAGTGCTGTTAAAACACAAAGCTGGTAATCCTCATTGCTTCACAAACATTTTGTTTTGAAAATGCACAATGTGAACAAGCCACTCTGAAATGTCCCACAATGTGACAACAGGAGAAAATAAGTTAAGCGTTACCAATCAATCACAATAGCAGTTTCATTAGAGCTGAGTGTGGAGCACTGGAAACCAAACACATTTTTGTGAAAAACCTACAGTGGAACAAAATGTCACCATTATACTTTATAAACATAACAGTTGATACCAAATCATACAAATTTGTCACAAAAATAAGAAGATACCAAAACACCTAAAACATAAAAAAATATAATATTTAGCTTTAGCTATTCATATGTTTTATGCAGAATATGGTGTTTTTGCAATATCTAGTAAATCAGCACCCTGACATCTTTTCAGTTAAGATGTAATAATGTGTTTGTGGATAGTGAATGTCCATTAATTATAATAGTAAATAACTAGTCAACCAATCACCACAGACAAGCATAAAAAACACAGTACCATTAAAATGTGACCTGCCATCATGAGGTCTCTGTGACTAAAGCATTAGGTACTGCCATGCATGACACTGCAGATAAAAGTTATCTTTATGCATAGCATAGTTTATTGTTCCTACAAATAAAAGATGGAACTTAATCTGTGTGTGTGTGTGTGTGTGTGTGTGATAAATGTTTTGTGAACTGAAGTTAATGGAATGTGTAACCAAATTATACCTACCCAACACCCAGTGCGTCATGGTAATTATGGCGTGTGAGGGCAATCAGAATTAATTAATTATGCTCAGATGCATTGCCTCTGGCAACCTTTCAAACGCGTGTGAAAGGTCAGTTTTCTTTGCAAGGAGTAAATTAAGTTGCTGACAAAGTGATGGATGTCTCTGTGAATGTTGATGCTTCAAATACAGTCTTCCCAGGTAGATTCTTATTCCAGCCAACGCAAAATCTCTCCCGCTGAAGGCTCAGTCCTCCAGCTTGGTAAAAGCGGAGAAGCCGGGCCTTTTCAGTCATTATCTGTACTTGTGGAAGTGAGTGTGAGGTGTAAGTAAGTGAGTCTTTATGCAGATTCAAGTTTGCAAGTTTATCCATCCCCAAGTATTAGAGTGACTTACTGAATGAATGAATGATTGCAATGGTTTAATGAATTAGGTGTGGGTTTGAGTATGGATGATTTAAAAGTGCTTATTGTTGCAAAATTTACACTTAAAATTAACTAACTAAATTACTTGATTACAAAAACATAACCACAAAAATGCAATTACAATGTAAGCTGAAACCAAATCAAAACATAGAAATCCCAACCTTATTGGTAGACATGAACATTGAGTATTGGACGATTCTGCCAAACCTTGGATTACATTCATTGCTCACAACATTTTAAGTCTTGCTTTCTGAAAAATCTGTGGGTCACAACTAATCAAAGGTGAGATAAAGGTTGTGGTTATGGCAACAAAAACAAGTGGGTAATGTTAGGAATTAATCATGTTTAGAGATCTACTCACCCATCCACCAACACTATTTAAAATAAAGGCCACGTAGTTTCTTAAATTAGTACTGATGTAAAATGTGAGGTGAACAATCATTAGCATTTTTTTTACTTCTTTCAATCTGTGCTGCTTGCAAAACCTGATTTCTGATTCATTGTTCCTTAGTACCATACAGTGCAGTTAAAAGATTTGGAAACGCCTGCCACAAAAGTTTGATTCAGCACAGTCAGATGATATTTTTGATATTTTTGAATGGCCTTTCATACTTTTAGTTTGCAGAAAGTCTCCTTTTTCCTTCCTTTTAGATGTTATTTTGTATGAAGGGTTTGCAAAAATGATTAGATTTTGTGCACAAAATGCTGTACTATGATTCAACAAGACTGGCAGTTGAAAGGGCAGAAAGAGACAAAGATACGTCAGAGCAACAGTTAAAAAAAATGGAAGCCTAGCATCAAAATCTGTGTAGATTTATTAGACATAGATTCCTGTTTCAGTGTCAAATGCATAATAATGCATAATTTTAAAACTTAACTCCTTATTAACCTCTGCGTAATTTGAGATCTTCCGGCAGGAGTCTTCTGTCTCTCCACAATAACCCTCTTTAAAAAAAAGACCGTGATTCCAAACTTTTGAACGAACATTAGGATGCATGTAATCTTGTATTATGTTATAGTGGTGTTGCATGTGTTGCTGTTTTCTGTAAATGCAAACTAATGCAACCAAAACACTGAGCTTGGGAGATTCATGATTTTGCTCATTTACCTGAATGGAAACATCACTATAGGATCCTCCAATGACCCCCGAGATGGCCAGTGGAACCTCGTTTTGGATAGGTCTGGAGCCGTCTGGGCAGATGAAGCCTGGATCATGCACCTTGGTGAGGGAGGCCCTGACGAAATCTAAAGACTGCTCCAGAGCGTATGTGTCCTTCGAGCAGGTGTCCAGGATGTGGGCCCCCAGCTGGAGTCCGGGAAGGATGCGATCGCTGGAGTTAATCTCATCAAGTGCCAACAGCATGGCTTCCAGTCTCTGGATCCCTCTCTCCTCATTGATCTTGCCACAGTCCTCCATCCCATCACCTTTGTGGTGCACGGGGAACAGGCCTCCAATCACCAGGTCCCCGTCCAACACGATCTCACGTTTGGTCGGCGGCGGTAATCTGGAGATGCTGGGCAGGACTCCTAGTACCAGCATCTCCAGCAGGAGCATATGGAGAATCCAATTATGGGCAGAATTGGCCAACGACCTGGGGCAGAGCACTACACTCAGCATGGCAGGATCAGGTAGCAGGGTTCAGCTGGTTGAAGTAGAAAGGGGCAGAGGTTCACAGGGCCTGGAGGCAGATCATTTTCAAGTCTTCTCTCAGTGGGTGCATCATGTTTGATATTTCCTTAGTGAATGAAAGAAAAGACCAATTATGGGAAGAAAATACAATTTAACTAATGAGAAATTAAACAGAGCTGAGTAATAACATGAACATATTCCTCAAAATGTGCATTATTGACACCCACTGGCACTGACAGCTTATATTTTTGCCGTTTTGTTACTGATTTTAATACAATTAGTCTCTTTCAGCTTTTTGCCCACAGGGTTATTCAAAGATAAGACGCAATCACATAGGCTACTGCTTTATAGCTTAGTGTGACTGTTTCATATCTAAGACAGTTTATATCTAAACTTTCTCTTGCAAGTGGTTCTTTACAGTTTTCTTATCGATTTTTGCCTGAACCTCTTTTTTCCCCCTCGCCCTAATGCGATCTATAGAAATATTACAGACAAATAATGCTATTATTGGACAGTCTAAACCCGAGACTGCACTGCCAGATGGCTGAAATCAGGCTACGAGTATTATGAGTGACTTTCTCATGTGAAACATAAGTAGAGATTGTTTCAGCGAGGCTCTGTGGGATTCCAGCGTGAAATATAATCACGGCAGTTTTATCTAAAAGACAAACCGCTGCGAGTTACGCGTTACCGTTGCAGAGTGACCACATCAAATATTTATAGATATTTAAGGCACCCTCTCAAGTGAAGTGTAAAAAGCTTACAACTGAGATATCACATAGATGGTGGTTCTCCTCAATGGCTAGGGTTGCCATGGAAACATGGTTGGGGGAAAAAATAAGGGTTGGACTGTAGGGAAGTGGGCAGCGAGACATGTATGCTAATCTAGATTCCTATCATGTTGAGGTTACAGGTTTAGGTCTCACCAGGAGTTGTTATGATGTCTGATTAGGGAGGTGGGCCGGTTCAATCAAAGCGCTGTCAGAGAGAGGGAACCAATCCTGTTTCTTTCAGTCATTCCTCACATTCATCAAACACATACACAAGATCAGCAAACAGATCGATTCAAGCAGCCTTTACATAGAGACGGTGGACTTTTAATAACTCATACCATGTCTTTACAGGTATATTATCAACGTGTCATATCAGCAGTATTAGTCAGAATATTTGAAAGTCAGAGGGATGCACAAATGGAGCATAGAATCAACAGAAATTGTCTGTGTGTCTGTTCAGATAGTTCAAGTTCAGATTTTAGAGGAGTCACGCTGGTAAACCCGCAGAGCTTGGCTGTCGTTTGGACTATTCGATGTGCTGCCGCTCCCCTCTCCATTAACAAGCCGTGGGGAGCTTATTAGTGACTTCTCCTATTCTGTGACATTCTGTTGTTAATGACATTGTAACATCACACAAAAATGTGCCACTTGTAGACCCACATGTATTATCAGTTCTAATAATAGTTGATCCCTTAACAGTCCTTTTATTCGATGTGAATGTGTCACGTTTCCTGTGCTAACAGGGGCAGAAAAGCCCGCACTGTGGAGTATGCAAGGGTAGGTTACAAAAACACCAGCTCCTGCATATACACCCAGATAAGTTGAGCGTGTGTGTAAGCATGCTTTTGCAGGGACATTTGACGAATATCCTGTGACATCCCAGGAGCAGTGTGAGCCACAAACAACCGAGAACATGAGGAGGAAAAAGTGTAATAAATTTCCCCCCAGATAAATATTACACCAGGTTGTGGGGAAACCTCATAGTACACTGATGAATTCACTACCCTCTATCCAGTGAAGAGGGGTTAAATGTAGTAATGTGTGAAGTCACAATGTAAAATCTCTCTCAGACCCGCTGTGTGTCCCGGACATTAGGTGGAGGTGTTTGGTTTTGCAGTGACACATTTGCCCTATAAGAACCAAGGTGAGAAAGTAACTTGAAGAGTTCAGCATTAAGAGGCTAATTGCTCCACTGTGCTGTCTGTTGGAGCAGATGGGGGCTTTCTAGTTGCAAAGACTGGGTCACAGTGTGAATTAATGGCGCAATAAGGAACAGCCAATTAGGCAGACCTATGCAAACTAGGCCAAAGTGAGGCTGGAGGTCCAGAAGAACCTCTCAAAACCTTTAAAAAGTGCAAATAAATGCTGAGTCTGAAGTGGACATGAAGTACAACTATCAAAAACACATTTCCTACCAATATTTGAAACACGTATTAAGCGGGAGCTGTATTACCAGCTTGCATGAGCGTTAAATCTCACCCTCAACTGAGTTGTAAAGTAGCTCCTATCAGGACTCGATCACATCATTAAAGCTATCTTGATGTAGAAACGGCTGTCACGCTCACACTCAGCAGCTGTGAGAGTCACTCGCTCCCCAGATGTCTGAGTGGAATATTCCCTCTGAAAGGCGAGTTCAAAAAGAAAAGGCAATGTGCTTTACCCTGCTTTGAACCATCAGCTAATGCATTACTGCTCCTGCCCAGGACAGAGAGGATTTCGCCAACATTAGCATAAAGATGCTTTGAGAACACCATTCTTTATTGTCTTATCCAAATATAGCTAATGCGTAATGCATGATTCACTGCAGAGTCGCTTTCAGAAATTATGGAGAATGGCATGCACAAATGTACTATGTACCTGTATCTATGGAGAAATACAATGCTATTCATGTCTGGAAAATGAGCTGAAGAGATGGGTTGGGGTTGAAGGACTAATCACCTGTTTGTTATGTTGTAAAAACTCACACTGATCATGCAAAATAAATCTATTTGATGTGTAATTTAATGATGTTATTATTCTTGATCATTTCAACATCACCTCAAGCGTTTAGACGTTGCTATCACTGCAATACTTGAGCGTACATGACATGACATTTAATTTAGTTTCTATAATCCACACGGATCATTAAGCCTGTTGAGTAATAACAGCCCAAACACAGCGCTCATCCCATGAGATTTATTTAAAATACTGCTTTCCGATGTTCACGTGACCTACACTGATAGGCTGATCACTTACCTTTTTGCAACATTTGTGCTCATAATTTTTAGAAAAAATACCCAAGCTGGATTATGGACAAAGTGTCATCCTTTTCTCAAGTGAAAGCCAGGTAAATGTTTTCTTCATTTAATATGATACAGCAGAAAAACATTTTCTCATATTATCCTGGAAAACAGAGCTGTTCAGTCAAACCACACAAGACACATGATGATCTTCTAAATGACTGCTCAAAGCAAAAGACATATATTTTACGGCTAATGCTTTTGTTTTAACCTTTATTTTACCAGGCACGTAAGTTAAGAACCAATTCTTATATACAATAACAGCCTGGGAAATACAAAAAGAAGGGGGAAAACGCAGCCGCCACAGCTCCACTAATGATTTCCATCATTATATCAACTCCAGTGAGGACAGTTTATCCCTCCACCTGGATTTGTCAGCTGAAGGAATTAGGATGCCTCTGTGGTGGCCAGCAGCCAGCTGATTGTGAATTTGAACATAGATCAAGTGCATCTTTCAAAATAGCACCGGGAAAATCTGGTTGTCAGCCTGTTTAGCTCTAAAAAACAACAACAAAAACAAAACAACAGATGATTTAATGTGCTAATACCTCACCTGGAAATTCACAATAAAACATCATCTGTCTGAATGACTGAGACTGATAGATAAATATGAGAATGAAACTCTCTACAACAGATTGTTTATTGACTGTCTAATAATAAAACGATACTGTAATAACATTCATGGAGACCTGGTAGTGGATTACAGCAACCAATCTATCGTACATTTGAGAGAAATCCCGCTGCTACATCACATCCTGTCTGATCAATTGACAACAATGTGATGACATGCGATCTGTCCAATGCCAAATTGTTTCGGGTTTTTTATGTTTTGCACCGAGCAAGCTTACTGTCGTAAATCCTGAAAACTGTAAAAAAAAAAAAAAAATATATATATATATATATATAATATAAAAGAATAATATCCACAGCAGGACGGAGTGCTCGTTCAGGGCTCTGTCTGGAAACCAAAGCTCTGATTGGTTTGAGAAAAGCAAGTGCTCTAGAAATTTTTAGTTGAGACAATTGTAACGATTCTCTCGCGTCAAGCGGTTAACAACTTTGCGTATTTATCCCATTCATGCCAGTATAGCCTACACACTCAGGTGTTAGATGGTGTAGTGACAAAGTAGACAGATCAAGTTCGGCCGCTGTTTCAATTTGCTCTGGGATCTATTCACTGGTGATGTTGTGCCACGTGAGATTTAAGTGCAATAAAGACACAGGAAATTGTTTGTATTCTACTAAACTGATCATTATGATGGATGTAGTGGTGGTTACGTTGAGGTTGTGGGATAGCCTATGATCAAACATGGCTAAAAGCAGTTGCAAAGGCACATGAAACAGAAACATGCGGAGACAAAGTAATTTCTATGACAGACTACGTGTGGGGAAAACATAGGTTATTAAACATACGTTGTTAAAATCAAAGTTATTAAGAGATCCTTTCTTACCTGGTTGTTGCAGTAGATGTATCTTGACGGATGTACCTGCAGGTCTCTTTTCCACAAGCCCGTGCGCCAATAAACAGACACCGCGAGGAGCTTCATGTGACAAGCGGAGTCCAGATGTTGCTCACTTTGTGCGCGTTTGCCAGGCAGCGGTTTGGATCTGTCCTTGGTTCTGAAGTGTTGTTCACAGGGGCAAGTGTGGCAAACTCCTATCGGTGCTCTCCAACTTGTGCCTGCCACCCACCGTGTGTGTACGCCTACAGACCGGAGCAAAATAGCCTACCGCCCAATAGTGCTCATATGTCCAGCTGCATCGACAGCAATGATGCTCGAAGGATTCTCCTATATGTTACTGCCGGCTGCACTGAGACGCAAGTGAATCTAAATTCAGTTGTAATTACACCTCTCTTTTTTTGCATCGCATTGCATTTCCTATTTATAGTCTCTTGGAAAGTTAATCGAATCGACTTCAAAATAAGAGCTGTCGAGAAATCCTGCTGTAGCACTGTCGGATCACACACATGCAGCCGCTCCGTGCTGCTCCACAGACATAATGAGTGCAACGAGTCGACGCTGCGCTCTCGCCTCTCAGAAACCTGACTGCACTTCATAAAGCGGTTGCTTGCCAGCCAGCGAAGTGAGTTACAGCACCTAAACAGGAGCGACCCAAAAATAATGAAACCTATTTTATACCTGTTTTCAACTTATCACAGGTCTATTTTTATTTATTTTACAATGACTCATCCATTGCATTTCCCGTGGAACTGAGCTGATAACCCCACCACCACCGCCACAAAAGGGGAACTCTTTCCGGAGACTGTACAAGGCGCCGCAGCTCTTCAGCTAAATTAAGAAAGATGAGAAATGAGCACCAGGTTTTTGGTTTGTTTCACTCTATGAAGGCCGGCCAGCTCCTCATTCACCTCCATCTCATTAAAACTGAATACAGAAACACTCCAGATGAGTGGCATAGCACTTCCCAAACTAAAGAGGCACATTGCACAGTTTGTTTTCCACTGAAAAGGTGACACAAACACACACACACACACACACACACACGAATGAACTCATAAATACAAAAGAGCTCATATCATTTAATCTGCAGTTTGGAGATATAACAAAGACATTAAAGTTGAATTACATAGAGAAAAGACATAATTCATCCTCTTAAGTTCTGTTGTTACAAATAACTTTGTATTTATACAAACATAATATATAGCAATTGCTTTTGAAATTCTTCAGCCAAAACAAATAACCCTTACTGTCAGCCTATTAACTATTTAAAATAAGTTTAGCCAGCAGTGGAAAATGAAGTCTCACCGGTAGTTGAGGTTAACTCTATACCTTCACACTGCTATCTACATCCTGTTCTGTAGAAAATCATTTTGCAGGGACACCATTTCATGCAATAAACTTTGCACTTTGCACTATTTTTGCACTATTTGTACTAACTTTGCACTATTTTCCCCACCCAAAACAATATTACATTTGCAACATTCCAGATTTATAATTTTTGATTAGTGCATTAAAAGGTCTGCTGCACCGGTTTGGTTTTTGTGTTTCAGTTACAATAACATCTGCAAAATATCCAGACAGCAACATAAAGTTAATTCCGTATGGATTTATTGCTCACCCATGTCTGTCACCTTCACACGCTTAAGCCCCCCCACCATCCCTCTCCTCTCACCCACACATACAAAACACATCTCACTGTTTCATTTCCGGACTAACAATAGCTACTTTGCAGTTAGGGGTTGGGAAAAGAAGAACTTTTTTTGTGTACAGTGGCAATTAAAATGACGAGCGGGTCCTGGTTGTTGCATAATTCCCTCAGCTAACACAAAGGGACCAATTTCCTCCTGAAATAGAATTTTAGTTTAGGTTACAATAGTAGGGGGCATGTGGGTGGAATGCAGAGTTTAGATAGGAACATGGCAATTAATGTCGAGTGAAATTATAGAGGACAGAAACAAAGCATTTCTAGCCAGTGGTCAGTACTTCATCAGTCTGACTGCTGCTGCTCTCTTTATGGTTTTCTGATAATTCAGTGTTAATGAATGATGAGTAAACAATCAGTCAAAAATCCACAATTTAGTTTCTGTCTGTGGTGTCTCTGTGTTTTATTGATCTTTACAAGTATGGAAACATGTGGTCTTGTGACAAAATAAATGATAACTTTAACTGAAAAGTGTCTATAGTACAGAGAGGAAATCTCTTCTGATCAGTGTGTCGCAACTTCAAGGCACCCAGCTATTAAAGGGTCAGTTCAACCAAGTCACAAAAAGCATATTTTCTCACTCACTACCTGTAAATCTATCTCAATATCTATAGCCCTGCAGAAAGTGTTTGTTTAAATTGAGGTTTGAGATATCCGTCTGTAAAAATTCTGCTGCCATTGGAATTTGGTTTGTGGTGTTCAAAACCCAGAAAGGTTTACAGCTTTTATTGGAATTATAGGGCTTTCAACCTGATAATCTCTGTTTTTAATTTCTTCTAACTGTCCACACTGAGTAAATTCATACTACTACTAGTTAATTTTTCTTGTCGTTTGTTTGTGTTAAACTGGGTGAAAGCTTAATGGCCCAAGACCATCCTGTCAGTGGAAGGTCACAGCTTCAACTTCTCATCCCAAGAATTCTGTTTTATTATTTATTTTCATACTATAGACCATTATTTTTATTGGATATGACAACATTTTACACACTTAAAAAATCCTGGGAACTGAGCTTAGTCAGAAACCACTTTATTTGGAGGTTAAACAGAAAGTGTGTGTAACACACACTGTAACACTTGTAATAGCTGTAATAACACGTCATTGCACTGGAAAGCTGATAAAGAAATAAAAAAACTAAAAATAGATGCACAATCAGTCAATTTTACCATTTGCCTTTGATGTTTTCCCCCTCTAAATAAGTTTGCCTAACCTTTAAATGCCCATAGAAATAAAATAATATCCCTACCAGCTCCAAAGGCACGGCCAGCCCTGAGTATTTATCCACCTAGCCTCTGAGATCATTACTCTGTCACACCAATTCTGCCATACTTAAGTTTGTTAGATTCCCAACCTATGTGCAATAAACAATGTAGCCTACAAATAATTCACAGATCAGCATGGAGTCAGCAGGTTAGTACCACATGTGTATAAAGAGGGGGGCACACACTGCTTCCTGAGAGGTTTTATAATTACAAACACAGAAAGCATCTCAGAGCTTCACTCTTACTCTTAAAGCTCATCCATCTCATTTAAATTTATTCTGGGATTTTAACCCCATCTTTAGAGTAGCATCAGCATTTAGATTAGAAATGTAAACACCCACTATACATCAACTTATTTGTAGAACATTTATTAGGTAAAAGCTCAGCATTGAGGTACCTCCAATTTAGAGTAAATTAATGAATGAGTGACAATGTAACAGGATCGCTTGTTTTTGTTTTTTTTTACACCCATAGAGTGTACAGTAGTTTAACGAGCGATCACCAAAGCTCTGTAATGAACTGTTAGGCAGTATGGAGATCTTCCTAAGTATCTGTAATGGCTGTGAACTTTTTTTTTTTCAACCTTGGCTAGATTAAAGGACAAGCAAAAACCTTTCTCTATAGGTATTACTAATTTCTGTCAAAGTGAAAACAGTCACCTGGAGAATCTTAAATAAACACATTTTAACTCAGAATTTTAGCTCACTGTGATCTCTTGTTTGCTGGAAGATAAAGGATATGGATATGACTGGACATACATTATAAGCTGTGGGTCATCAGGTGGTCTTCCACGCTGCAGCTGCCATATTTATATCAGAGGGAGAATAACAAAGGGAGAAAAACAGAAATTAGCCTGTGCAAAGAGACAGCAGATGGTAGAAAGGTTGAGAAACAACAGAACAGGATGGCTAAACAGAAAAGGAAGGAGCTAGGGAGTGAATGTGTGAGGATAATTTGAGGATGCTAGAAGCCAAATGTAGAATGATAGTAAATGCAAGGTAAAGTCATAGAGCTTTGCTTTCAGTAATAGAGAAATGAATATTAATAGTCAGCCCACTTGTCTTGTCATCTTTTTCCTTGACTGATCATGGCAGCAGGCTGCACACTCACCATAATTATGTCCTCAATCTCAGAGGTGATCGGGAGGACCACAGGAAGAAGGCAATTATGTTATTCACACTTTTCCTTTTGGAAATTAAGTCAATTTTACATCAAAACATGCGCATCAGCAACAATGCTATGTCATCACAATACACATAAAAGTTTTTATAAGGCACACAAATATTCAAACACAAAAAATAAACAGAAAACTTTATGACGACTTCTGTGTGTGCTTATAGTAATTTCAATGTCGTCAGTTATTAATTAATTAAATGAAGGCCCTTTGTAAACTAGTCAGTATAGGTATCTGGGAAATGAACAGAATTCTCTGTATGTTCCTCCAACAAATAAAAAAACTTGCTGGAAATGCAAGTAATGGTTATCTTAAGTACACCAAACAGGAGATATCAAATACTGGTAGACACTCAAGTAAAATGCCTTGCTAACAAATACTCAGTTCAGTCATCTTGTGTGATTTTGACAATCATCACTTCTATAAAAAAAAAAGTTTCAAGAAACTCAGGCTACCTGAATGCATTCTGCAGATTTCAAGTGGATCGTTTTCTGTCAATAAAATAAAGCAGATTTGTAATACTTTTACTAAAGAATAAGACTGGTTACATTCTAGATTTTTCATATTATCAACAGATCCAATAACCAACATTAACAGTTACCTGTGTATCCAAAGCCAATATTCTTTTGCACCATAGACCTCCTTTGTTGTCTAATAACTATAAAAATGTTCCTAAATTATGATAGGCACTGCTGTTTGTACAGGGTGGATCCTGCAAACACTGTCCCGCTGCTGTAAATACTCATTAGAGTACTAAATATGGATTAATCCATGTCTAAAAGTATTCTGCGACAAATGCCGTATGTACTCATGCTTGGATAAGAAATGCTAAAAACTACAGCCCAGCTGTTTTAGGAAATTATTTCACATTTTCTTTTAAATTACACAATATATCTATAGTTTTTAAAAACGAACATCTTCTATAAGAAAGAACTGGCTTTCAGAGTAGGGAAGTCTGAAAGTATTGAGAATCGGACTAACACATTTTTGGTTTTGGTCTTTTTATGCTGTTCACAATAACAAAAACATAGAATATCACCTGCCCTATCCTTTAATATTTCCCTTTTTGGACATGAACACACAGTAAGCCATGCTTTTAAAATCTGCACTTCCCAACCTCATCAATTTCAGTCCTTTATTCTCTCATCTTCACCTTATATGTCTCAGTGAACTTTTACTCTTCTTCCCCGACGACACCCCACCACTCCTGAGAGGGAGCCTCCAGGCTCTTCTGGTTGGAGTCTCCATGAAGCCCCTCTTCTCTCTCTGCCTGCTCTCCATCAGTCTGCTCCCAGTCCAGCTCTTTAAATGAGGTTCCCCTGGAGCTTCTCCCTCTGTAGTCTTTATCCCCTTGATCATGGATAGGCACAGAGTGGACCGAGGATGCTGCCAGGGACGTCTCTCTGCTGTCTGACAGGAGAACCCCACTACCTGAGCTGTATTCACTGTTCGAGTCTGCACCTAGAGCAGCGATAAAACAAAAGGAGGGAATGAACAGATGGTGAGAGGACTTCTATAAACAAACACCACATGAGAAAAGCTAGGCTGCCCAAAAACCCAGTGCTGGGATTCAACCAAAATCTGCATGATGGTATTTGAGCTGCACTGACTTAAGTCCAGAATAA